ACCTTCCTGATCTATTGACTTTTATTTGAAAATACGTTTTCTAAATAAGTCGGACGCTTTTTGAGATTTTTATTTTTGTTTTTATAAACTTTAGTTAAAATATCCAACTTCAATCTAGTCCAAAGAAAAAAAAATGATTTTTTCGGCCTCTGAAGGTAGGAAGTAACCTTAAAAGTTCAAGGCTCTAATTACGGATCAAAGTATCTAAACAGCCCTTTTAAATCATTCACAGGCAATTTTTGCAGCTATTGTGGTTATTGGAACAATTCTGTGCTTGCTTCTTATCGGAGTCTTTGGGTATTTCCTGCACCAATACACAATTTTGTGTCCATGCAAAAGAAGGTAAAACTACTCAATCACAAAGTATTTAATTTCTTTTATGCAGAAGCTCTGTTGTTGCAGTTAATTGAAGCAGCAACATTTTTTCCTCTAAGGGGACAAAGTTTTGCACTGAAATCTAGGGATGTTTTATTTTGCATCATGTCTGCTCCTATGACTGCATTCTCCTAGTCTTTGCCCTGTGAGTGGTAAAGTGCTAAAATGGTGAAAGAGTTCATTGCTATCCTTTAAATTGATGATGGTAATAGTTATATGCTTTCCTCTGATTTACAGAGAATAACTAAACGTTTTTTTTTTTTCCCAGGAAACATGTTTGAGAGATTGGGAGAGTTTTTCTGTTTAATGGAGAATTGCATATTATATTATATGAGAGATTTGGCAGATTTGAATTTTTAACCATTTACACCTAAACATCAGTATTAATGTTCTCCACACTATTCTTTACATTTCCAATAACAATCAGCTGCAGAATTTGTTTAACAATCAAGTGCTTCTTTAGTTGGTGATCATTTCCTTTTTCTCCTTATCTTTCTGTTTGATTCCGGAGTGACTTGAAAGGAGAAATTAGATGCTAATCATTCTTAGGCTCTTAAGGGTTAATTAGGAATCCTTCTCTTTCACAGAGTACAACTTCAAAACAGAGGGGGTACCATGGAATCTGACGGTAAAACTGCACAATCATAGTTCGTTACAGCTTTTATAATCATTTTTGTTGTTTTTTCTGGTTGTTGTTGTTGTAATTTTTCCATGTTATTCATGACAAAGCACAAAAAATGTAACCAGCTGAAAAAATTGAATAAGTTAATTACCAGTCTAGGTTGATCCCTTGGGGAAAAACTGTGCCATTGGTCTTGAGTTGGTCATCAATGTCTCTTTGATTTAAAGAAAAAAGTGAATTCTCAAAACTGTTTTGTGCATGTTTTTATTAATGACAAGTGCCTCTTCTTTATTTTTTTAATTTTACAGTGATTAGAAATCCAGGGCAGCAGGTAAGTGATTGAAAAAAATTGAAACTTTTAGGACCTTTTTAAATTTCTTTTGCATGTCTCGTTAACACTGAAGCTATCTCTTTCTAGTATCTTGTCGGCTTGGTAAATGTGGTTGTTTCTTTTAGATTTACAGAATTTGCTCACGTCAGCAGCGTACACCCATTGGGCAAATGGGGGACGCTCAATTGACCAATCAGAGCGCGCGCTTTACTTTGGTTATGTTATAAATGTGTTTGTTTCTTTTAGATTTACAGAATTCAAGAGGAGCCTGTGTATGCTGAAGTCGCAGATGTTTATCCTTTTGATAATGCGGCTGAAGGTGAAGGTGAGGACTTTTACGATCGTCTGTTCACAGTTTTCGTGGGAAATTACTCCCCAACCCTCTTCATTTTTTTAAAGCTTTGTAAACATGTAAATAGACTAACACCCCATTCAGGAGTTTCAATAAAAGCCGGTTACCGGTGGTCTACCGCCGCCTGTAGGACCTCTCGCCGCCACCTGTAGGACCTCTCGCCACCGCCTGTAGGACCTCTGGCCGCCGCCTGTAGGACCTCTGGCCGCCGCCTGTAGGACCTCTGGCCGCCGCCCGTAGGACCTCCTACCGCCGTCTGTGTGGATTTCATTAATGAAAATAAAAAGTGAATTTAGTGGTCACAGCCGCCTATTAAACCTTCAGTGGCCGCTTATAACTAATGTTATCGAAACCCCTTCCATTCACAATAAAATTTAACATGTTTTAACCCATTAGTGACCAAGGTAGAATTTCTCCTAACATCTGCAATACAATATCAAGCCAAAAAATGATGAGAGTAGAGAAAAATACAAATATTGGGGATCATCAGTTGATCCAGTACCAAATTCTCCCAACCAATATCATAAGAATTGTATTGCAGACAGTGAGGAGAGTTGTTAATGAGATCGTGGGTGTGAAAGGGTTGAAGTCGTCCAGGGTTGAATTTTTTTTTCCTCTATAGAGGCTACTCAAACCGATGTTTTTCGACTTCAAACGTAGCACATTGAAAACACAAGTTAGCGGTTGTTTCACTCCATGGAAAATTTAGTTTTTCAATTCCCTGTTTCTGATTTTCATTCAGTTAAATCCGGTTTAACCAAACATGTTTTATTGGTGTGAATGAGATACATTGGTCCCCTGCTGCTTAAATGTATTTCTATTCGTCTATTGTTTCAATGTGTTTTGCTTTCTTTCTTTTTCTTTTTTCAGGAAAAGTGACGGTTAATCTTGATGAAAATCCATCAGTTGTTCTGAATCCTTACGTACAGGAAGCCGTGTTTTCAAGTGGAACGCCGAAACCTGATTCGCCATTGTCACGATCAAAACTTGAAGAAAATAGAAGAACAAGTGTTGAATCAAGAAATGTTCGCGAAAGGGACAGAAGTCCATTAGACGAGAAAACGGACGGATCAATTGTGTTTAGGAACTCGCAATTTGAAGAGACATCCTTTAGTTCTCTGCCAAAGCCAGAGCAAGACTTGAAACTACTTGCAGAATCACGCGGACAGGGTGATAAAGGGATTTTTAATCCTCACGAAAATCACTGTCATCACGGTCGTAACGAACATCGCGATCGTCATGAACATCGTGATCGTCACGGTCATCACGACTGTAACGAGCGTCTTGATCATGACGACAGCCGCGGTTTTCACATTCCTAACAGCCAAGAAACTGGTCACAATGTTTCGTATGAAGGACTCACTGACAGAACCAGAACTCTGAGTAAGTTTATTTGTCCGAGCTGTAACGATAGTTCGGATTATCAGAGACTTAGCAGTCATGGGGACTGTCAGCACAGAGAAAAGGAAAACTACAGGAGAGAAAAGACACGGTCGCTTTATGAAAGTTTGACGCTTGAAAGAGGTGCGAGGGAATCTTTTTATGCAACACCGTCGGTCATGCAGGTAAGCCATAGTGCTTATAACTTTTAGATGGGGGGGGGAGTGTAATGGTTAGTGCGTTAGAATCTGAATTGGTAGAGTTTGGTATGAACCATGGCCGGATTAACGTGTTGGGTTTAGGAAAGTTTCACTTGATTGTAAGTTCACCCCCTACCGCCTTACTTTCCAACCGGACCGTTTCTCCTCCCCCCCCCCCCCTGCCAGGTATATAGATGGATAGGGGTGAACCTAGTATCAAGGAAAAAAGACGAATTGTGGAGGGTGGGGTTACCAGTGATTGACTAGTATCCCATCCAGGGGGAGAAGTAATACCGCTGGCTCCGGTTGCTCAAAGGGCGGATAGCGCTATCCAATGGATAAACCGCTGTCCAGCAGATAAGTGTTACCAAAACGTACTGCGCTATCCACCGGATAGAGATTTATCCAGGATATAGCGTTATCCATCCTTCGAACAACCGGGGCCTGCTCATTTATAATCCTATGGAAATCTAGAAGAATGCGGAAGTTTATGGGCTACTAGACTCGTAAGACTGAACCCTTTCTCTCCCAAGATTTGATTATGAATTCTCTCCTCTGGCTGCTACACATTTCCTTGTAAATTAGTTACGAGAATTTGGAGTTAAATCAAGATACCAACTTTTACCTGATAAGTTTAAGCATGCTCTTTACCTGTGTGCAAAATATAGTATGGATATTATAGGGAGAAGTTATTAGTTAATGAAATTATTATGGAATTGTATTGATGTTAAAGGAGAAATTCCTTTTAGATCACATTTGGGAGAAAGAGGGTCACCTTAAATCCATTTTATCGCTGAACGCATCGCAGTGCCTACCGAGTCTGATGCTCTCTGTTGTTCTTGAGACATAATTACACGGGACCCTGGATTTACTCTGACTAAGAAGTTATTTAAAAAAGGAACTGAGTGATTTTGTTTTGCTCGGCACCAGGATAGCAAAGAACTACCGGAGTATAATGTACTGGAATCGGAAGAATCAGGTAATTTATATGAAGCCCTTCTTGATGTTCTTAATAGGCAGTGCTTAAATGATGGTGGAGCTATAGAGTACAAACGGTCCCTCCTTTTCAGTTGAGTCCGTCGCACTGGTCAAAAAAAAAAAAGAGTGAAAATTCCACCCAACATCAAATTTGGAAATCTATGGAAAAAGGCGTTGTTATGAAGCAAAGAAAAAAGAAAATGGGTCGATGGGTTGATACAAGAAGCCAGTGCTTCTGGTAGCCACTAAATTTAAGTGTGGTACAGGTTGAAATAGTTTGGTGAGAAACACTAACCCAATTNTTTTTTTTCTAGCAATCTGCTGTGCAGGATATTTTTTTTCCATTCTAAACGCTCTTTTTTTCTGTTTCATTTGGGCTGCATGCAATTTTTTTCTTCTAACAAGCGCTTGCAGGAAATTTTCTTTCAAAATCACCCATCCCCCCTCAAAAGTTAAATAGTCAGCCCCTTATGTAATATTTTGGTTGGTGATATTTGTACAGACCAGAACCTTACACCCGATGAGCCGGTGAACCACGAATACAATATCCTTGAACCGGAAACTCCCTCTGATGACGTTCAGAGTGATGTGAACGAAACATTTCCCAATTCGGGCTCAACAGATGAAGATAAAGATTTGCCGATTCATCCCTCAGAGATAAAAAGCCTCGAAAATAACCCTGTCTATGGCTTTCCTTGGAAAATGAAAAACGGTGCGAGGAGGCGAGCAAGTAGTATGTAGCTAGAAACTGTCACAAACCTTTTCTCATCACGTAGCCCAAACAGCTTAGTTCTATAGTGTTCTTAGCTCAGTTAAAGGACAAAGATGTTTGAGAGAGACTAGGAACCAGGCCTTAGTTGCTCAAGAAATAATGAAGAAAATCTTTTAATTACTTACTGCGCGAGTCTTAAATTGCATGGAAGGAATAGTAAAAGTGCCCATTTTTAATAAAGGCAATGTGTACAATTTCAGGTATTTTGAATTAATAAGTTAAGTTAATACAGTATAACATCTACTTTTTTTTCGTCTAAGCGACTGCTGAAGTATGGTATGAGTGTCATGCAGATATTACTAAATAAGTACTTGCCTTCCTGTTATTTTTTCTTATGAAGTTATCTTGCAATTTAGAGTCTACGTATGTTAGAATCGCCAAGGATATTTCTACTTTAAAATGTCTTTTAGAGAAGGTTTTTTTTAGATAGATTTAGCAATGGTAATTTCAATTTATTTCTTTTTTGTTTTTTAAATGTTTTTCATTTCACGCACATGTTTTAACGAGTTTTTATCACCCCCAGATGAAGCGTGGGTAAATAAAGTGTTGTATTGTATTGTACAACCTTTAATTGTTTTTTAACCCAACGTTTTATATATAGTTTAAGTTAATTCAGATGGCATCGACATATTGTAAACAGTTTTGTTAAGTAAAAGTTTAAAATTGATAACAAGGAATTTGTGTAAATTGTTCAAAGCTTTTTGCGAAAGGGTAAAAAAAATGATTTTAAGCATTACAGATGTTCTCTGTAAAGAAAGATTGTTAATGTATTAAGAGACAAATGTCTCTCTAAAATTTTTCCCTGTTTACAGAGAGAAAAAAAGTAAAAGTATTGTAGAAATGACTTCAACTAGTAGTTAAGTTTTGTAGCCATTGATGTAACTCACGTAGAATATCTAAACAGATTTTATTGTGCGAGTAATTTTCAATTTTGATTGGTTTGTCTTAATTTTGCTTTATGATAATTGGGTCAGGGATGTCCGCTACATCCTCTCAACCCATCACATCCAAAAATTGAAACCAATTGCGATGAGTTTGTTCGCCTTTTCCCGCGCTTTGTGCCGGTGGTTTGAACTGATTTTGAGTCCTCACTGGCTCAGGGAAGCCCAAACCATCCTCTCAACCAATTTTCCCGCGCTTTAAACCGGTGACGTGTACTGACTTTGAGTTCTAATTGGCTTCTTGTAGTATGTTCCTTTGTTCTGATTGGCTATTGTGGTGACAAATTTGGTCTAACGAAAGTCATTTCGAAGAGGCTCGAAAGTTTACGTTTAACTAAACTGTAACTTTAATGTTAATAGTACTTTTATGGAAATCGTACAACTCTGTAAGCTAGAGAGAAAATAAATAACCCCGATGTTCTTTGCAAAATATATGCTTTTGCTCTCTATCTCGGTACTCACTCTTTACTCAGGCGGAATTTTATGGCGTTTTTCAGACGAGAATATGCAAGCTTGAAGTTAGTGCGTAGAACAACATACGAGAGGTGGAGCGTGAAAATAGCATTTTT